AAGGCCTTGGGGGCTGCAGGGATGTTGGTGCTGGGGCCAGCGCCAGCACAGAGCTTCAGCCCGCAATGAACCCCGAGGGAAACGCTGGGGAAAGGCTCCATTCAGCCTTTCTTTACTCGGCGCTGTGAAGGGAACGAAATAAAAGGAGAGTGAGCAGGGCCTGACCCCTTCTCCTTTGGGAGGAGCCCCTGGGGCTGTGAGGGGCCGTGAGGGGAAATGAGAGGTTCTATGGGGCCATGAGAGGTTCTATGGGGCCATGAGGGGCTGTGAGGGGAAATGAGAGGTTCTACGGGGCCATGAGGGGCTGTGAGGGGAAATGAGGGGCCATGAAGGGACATGAAGGGCTGTGAGAGGTTCTATGAGGCCATGAGAGGTTCTGTGGGGCCATGAGGGGCTGTGAGCGGCCAAGAGATGTTCTATGGGGCCATGAGAGGTTCTATGGGGCCATGAGGGGCTGTGAGGGGCCATGAGGAGCCTCAGCCCTGGCAGGAGGGGTCCCACCATGTCCCCAGGGCAGAGCAGCCGTGAGGGGCCGCGAGTGCAGATGTGGCAGCAGAGCGGGCTTGGGGCACCTCTGGGAGGGGATGAGACCCTTCCCCAGCTCCAAACCACACCAAACCCAGCATTAACAGGATTTTCCATCTTTAGAATCCACTGGCAACTTGTACTGGACTGTACAGTTTAATCCTGGTGGGAAAAGCAAGGGAATTTTCCCAGTGAGAGACATCCAGCCATTTTTATTCATGTCTAAGATTTAAAAGTCTCGACAGTGAAAAGTAATACTAATAAATAATAATAACAACAAGAACAAGAAATAAAGCCCCGAATCCCAACAATCACCTCAGAAACATGTTTTTGTTTGTAATAGATTAGTACTAAAGAAATAAATGAAATAGATTTCATTTGTAATTCAGACATGTTTCATTTTTCCCAGTTTCTGGTCCCCTTCCTCCAGGGTCATTTCCTTTACTCACCCACTTTCTAATAGGTAGAAGGGAGTTAAGCACACTGGAAAAGACAACAGCTCCTGTTTCCAAGGGAAGCAGCCACCACTCCAGGGAACCTGAATTGCCCCCAGGCACGTGTGTGCACTTGAAGGGTGAGCAGGTGTTGGGGACTGTCCTAGTTTAGGGCAAATCAGGAAGGAAAACTCCAAATGGGGATCTCCACAGGGAAATGCCCCTCCCCACCAACGGGTCCGGGAAAAGGGAAAAAAAAAAAAAATTCCGTGGAGAGAAGTGGAAAAAGCTGTTTATTTAACAGAAATTGAGTAATATTAAATAATAAAACCTCTTGCTGTTCAATGGGATGGTAAGTCTAGAAAGAAAAATCTTTTTTCATGTGGTGCAGCTCGGCTCACTCAGGTTGTTATCAGTCCCCCCGGCGCTGGAAAAGTGCCGAGGCCCAGGCCCCAGTGGGCCACAGGCGTGAGCTCCCGGGGTTTGGCTGGGTGTTCAGTCCAGAGCAGGCTTGCACAGATCCAAGAAAATTGAAAAAAACAAGGGT